ATTATGAGCAAGTACACAAGTATAGATTAACAATAGAGTATAAGACGGTTATTATGATATAGTTATTACATTGAAATATTATGACAAGTACACAAGTATAGATTAACAATAGACTATATACGGTTATTATGATATAGTTATTACATTGACATATTATGACAAGTACACAAGTATAGATTAACAATAGACATAAGACGGTTATTATGATATAGTTATTACATTGACATATTATGACAAGTACACAAGTATAGATTAACAATAGACTATAGACGGTTATTATGATATAGTTATTACATTGACATATTATGACAAGTAGACAACTATAGATTAACTATAGACTATAAGACGGCTATTATGATATCGTTATTACATTGGCATATTATTTTGTTGAAAGGGTTAATGCGAGATGATGTAATTGATCGTCTTCTCGACGTTCATAGGAATGCACACTCTGATAGCATATGAATAGTCAGTCAAGTGGGGGGGGGCGCTAAAAGCCTTTTTATTTTTAAATATTTAGCACAGCTTTGTTCCTAATGTTATTTAGTTTATTTTGTCTGTTATCTTGTCTATTGGGACAGAAACCATCTACTATGTGCGTGCCAAATAAATATCCTGTTCATGACCAATTTAATGGACTCTGCATAATGGACTCGGTGATTTGTCTGAATTATATTACACCAGCAACGCGATATATACATTGGTTTATCTCATTTGACCATCTTTGTAAATGTGCACTATCTACGAAAGGGCACTATATCATACGTGCACTAAAAAATGCAAGCACTGAACATGTTTTAGCAGGACAGATGATTAAACAATAATTACAAACTCAAATAAGTATAATTCGGTTTACATTTAAAGGCGATCTAATAATCTGAAACACTTACAGGCGCCATTCGTGGACAGCATATCAATAGAACACCTGAGAGATGAGATTTTAATGATGATGACGTCGGACATGCTGACAACGAACTCACATTAGTCAAAGACTTGATGTTTGTTGGTTGTGAGTGCACTGGAAGACTTACGTTTCGATAACCACATATTGGTGGTATGCTTTGTTAGAAATGCAGTGATGTGTCCAATGTATCCATTTATCCATGAATATATCCATTTATTGAAGGGGTATTTCAGACACTCTGAACTAATTTCAATCCCGCTACACATATAACAAATATAGAATACTGTATTGATATGAACGCGTTACTACTAACTTTCTGAGAGACATTGTCGTCAGAGGCTGGTGCAATAGTGAGAGGAGTAGCACATGCAAGCATGACGTCATAAGTATTGATGGAATTACTGTTTATTTATCGTATGTGACTG